TCTATGTTTTGAAAAAAAAAAAAAACATTTGTCTTTATATTTCAAGATTGCATTTACATATGACATTGATAGATATTATGTTAATAATATTTGTAGGAGATTTATTAGATACATACGAATTTAGTTGCAGACAAATCATTTTGATTTTATCATGATTCTTTTTTCATGGTAACGGTTTTGTGGCATATTTTATCTTCATAGTAACTTATTTTAAAATAGAGTGATTTAAAGTGGAATTCAAATCATTTTGAACGTAACAATATTTATTTAAAGATTATTTTTTCAACATCTTCTTATGAATTGAAATGAAATCATTAAAAAAAAAACAACGATAGATTAAAAGAGAGATACACAAATTTGTATAATTTCTTGCAACATAATTTTACAACAAATGATTTTATGTTGTAGAAATGATTTTATATTTTAGTAAGAATAGTTTTTACATAATTATTTCCAATATTTTCGTGTAGCATTTGTGAGATATAGTATAATAATTCTTTATAACCAAATACTTGAAATTCAGTATTTTATATTAATTAAATGCGTTAGCATTGGTGAGGCAAAATCCTTTACTTACGTTGATAGTTGTCTTGTGGGCAAAAATATGTAAATAATTAGGCAGCCGATTTTAGAATCCTTATTTATGGAGGATTTCTTTTTAGCAGATTTATTAGAAATCATTGATTTGAATTAGCATGTATGTTATATACACAAAAAAAAAAAAGTTTATAGTAATATTTAAAATTTATATGGAGCCAATTTAAAATTCTCATCTAAGTGCCAACGGCACCCGTTCCTTCTGATCCTAAGGTTCTATTTAAAAGTTAGGGTCGTATCGTGTATTAACATGTTCTTAAAGAAATCAATTTTTAATCAGGATCAATTATGTTGTTATTATACTGTGTTACTAATAGATAATAAAGAGTCAGAGTCAGTCCTTATCATGCGTTGACATGTTCTTACATAAATTAATAGTCACGACCAATTATATGTTGTTGTTTCGCGTGTAAGTAATAGATAATTGGTTGAAGATATTAATATGCGAGGATGATGAGTTGCTCTGTTATCAAACATATAATGTTGTGTACAATAAAGTTTTTAATAATATATTATTTTTTTTATGACGAAAATTATATTATTTGACAATTTCTCTACAAATTATCACTATTTTATTTATTAATACACTTAAATTATATAATATTCTTCAAAATAAATACAGTCCGTGCATGGCACAGGATATATACAAGTAGTATGATGGCAAGGAATTGGAATTATATAAGGGGGATTATGTTGCCCGGTTTTATAAGTTTTATTAATGCAACTGTTGGTTGAAAAATAAAACTATAGACACACCCGCTTGGTCCTATAGTGTAGAACAGTAGATCATTTACTATCACCGGCGAATTTCTCCGGCCACCTGGGCTCCGCCATCTTCGTTCTTAGGTCAGCCGCGTGTTTCATTTCTCCTTATTTATCATGTGAATTGTATAAAAAAGGGCTATGGGAAAAAATGCATTTATTCGGAAATCTTTCTCTGTGGTGGGTTGTTTTCTAGGTTTCACGAGCTGAAAAACAATTGAATTTCCTGAGCAATTTTTTTGGATCTGGATTGCATATTCTGCCTGTAATTCAATCGCGCGAGTAGCTATCAGTTTCGGTTAGGGCTAGTTTTTAGTGCTGTCCTTAGTTGAATAATTGTGTGTTATGATAACTTTGAATTTGCCATCATAGTTTTTGCTACTTCGCTGAATCAAGAAGAGGCTGATAATATTTGGTAAAAATAGAGGGACTGGTTTGGGGGTTATATCGCCCGATAAAGTATAACATAGTCGAAATTCAGGGAATTCTTCCTACTGGACATCAAGTTGTGTAACCACTTCTCAAACCATTTGTAGGTGCATTTTAGCTGTTTAATCCTTCATTTCTCATGCTTCAGTAACCAATAATGAGTTGAATTTCCATTTCTCGATTATCTGAGTTTCGGCTTTTGTTCTGTGCTTGTTGTTGGGAGTAATTTGTGACATAGATGAAGATATCACTTCGGAGTCTGCATTTATGTGGAGGATTATTAAGCTGTTCTCTATCATGATTTATACTCTATGAACTAAAATCTGAAAAGTGAGGCTTTCGTTACATTTGGGAATACTTGCACCGGGATTCATCATCACTTGTTTTTATCTATATTATCAGTTTGTATTGCTCTTAGGAACCCCTGAACAGAAGGAAATAGTTAAATTAGCATAACAGTACTTTCTTTCTTTCTTTCTTTTGATTACTAATTTTTGTAAAATTATTCCATTATTTATTCAGCATACTTCTGTGTAGAGAGGATAATTGCTGATGCATGGACGATGCACCTTGTCAAACCCAGCAAACAGCAGATGGTTTACCCCATTTTCCTCTGCCCGAAACCAATACCCAAAATGGCATCCTCAACGGCAGTACATCCAGTATATGTAAAGAATTTGACCCTCCAGCAGCGGGGATGGAATTTGAGTCTTATGACGATGCGTATAATTACTACAGCTGCTACGCCCGTGAAGCGGGTTTTAGCGTGAGGGTTAAAAATTCGTGGTTCAAAAGAAATAGCCGAGAAAAATATGGCGCCGTTTTATGCTGCAGCAGCCAGGGATTCAAACGGGCCAAAGACGTAATCCGCCTCCGGAAGGAAACCAGAACCGGCTGCCCTGCCATGATGAGGATGAGATTAGTCGGCTCCAAAAGGTGGCGAATTCTCGAAGTCATTCTCGATCACAACCATGTATTAGGAGCAAAAGTTCACAAACCAGCAAAAACTAAGCTAATTTCTGAATCTGACCCAGAAGCACAGCCCGCCAAATTGTATCGAGCGCTTGTTATAGATGCGGCGAGTGATGGGACCCTGAGTTTTGATCAAAGACAGGCCGATACCACATCAGGCCCGCCCAACTGTTTGGCCCTGAAAAAAGGTGACATACAGGCCATGTACAACTACCTCTGTCGCATGCAGTTGACTAACCCGAATTTTTTTTATTTAATGGACTTAAACAATGAAGGGCGTTTACGGAACGTGTTCTGGGCTGATGCTCGATCGAGGTCTGCGAATATTTACTTTGGCGATGCGGTTTTTCTCGACATTACGTGTATGTCGGGCAAGTACGAAGTTCCACTTGTCGAGTTTGTGGGGACGAATCACCACTGTGAGTCGGTTCTGCTCGGCTGTGGGCTTCTAGCGGCCGAGACCATGCAGTCGTATGTTTGGCTGCTGAAAGCATGGCTTAATTGTACATCCGGAAATGCTCCACAAACGATTATCACGGACAGGTGCAAAGTTCTGCAAACTGCCGTATCCCAAGTGTTGCCCAAATCTCACCACAGGTTTTCCCTATCCCATGTGGTGAGGAAAGTTCCGGAAAAACTGGGAGGCCTCCGAAACTACGACACCGTGAGGAAGACGTTCCTGAAAGGAGTCTACGAGGCTCTAAAGCCGATCGATTTTGAGACCGCGTGGGGGTTCATGATCCAACGGTTTGGAATCGCCAACAATGAGTGGCTCCAGTCGTTGTACGAGGACCGGGCCCGGTGGGCCCCGGTCTACCTAAAGGACACGTTCTTCATGGGAATGGCCACGACCAGACCTGGCGAGTCGCTGAACCCGATTTTCGACAAGTGCCTGCACAAGCAGACCCCACTGAAGGAATTTCTCGACAAGTATGAGCTGGCACTGCAGAGGAAGCACGCGGAAGAAATGACTGCCGACACGGAGTCGAGAGACTCGAGGCCTGAGCTGAGAACGAGATGCCCATTCGAACTCCAGGTGTCGAAATTATACACTCGGGCGATGTTCGAGAGGTTCCAAGTGGAGGTGGAGGAGATGTACTCGTGCTTCCACACGATGCAGGTACACGTGGATGGACCCGTGTCGATTTTCTTGGTGAAGGAAAGGGTGGCACTGCAGGAAGGGAACAGGAGAGAGGTTAGAGAGTTTGAGGTTCTCCACAACCGGGCCGCGGGCGAGGTCCGCTGCATCTGCAGTTGTTTCAACTTCTACGGGTATTTATGCCGGCACGCGTTGTGCGTGCTAAACTTTAACGGGGTTGAGGAGATTCCCGCAAAGTATATTCTGTCGAGGTGGAAAAAGGATTACAAACAGTTGTATGTTTCGGATCGCGGGTCGGGCGGCGATTGTGATAGTCAGGGTCGGGCCGAGTGGATGGGCCAGTTGTACCGAAGCGCGCTGCAGGTTGTGGAGGAAGGGGTGATCTCGTTGGATCATTATAAGGTGGCATTGAGAGCGTTAGAGGAGTCTTTGGAAAGGGTTCATGGAGTCTAGGGAAAATTTGTATAGCCATCTTTTAATTAGGGGCTAAATGTGTGAGTTCTGTGATTCTGAATTTCTGATATGTGATGGCTTCGGCTGGACAAGGACAAGCCTCATGTTTATGTGCTCATAATTATGAAAAATTAAATATCATTTATCCCATTTGATGAGCTTAAGTTTTCATTTGCAATGTTTCGCTCGGTGGGCCGCTGTTTTTTGTGTCGTTCGAGCTTGGGTCGTTTAGTGGCACAAGCTCTCGGTTTTGGGTCATTTTCCCTGTTCTATAACATGCAAAATGGGGCTCGTTACACGGTTAAACGGAGACCCAATATTGGCAAGATTGAGAGGTCATTTGTATCTTATTTGGGCACGTAATGGGTCGAGTTAAGACATGGTTCACAGAGGCCCGACGAGTAAATCGAGCTGTATTCATACCCATATCACTCCACAACAGCTTTAACATTAGCAGATGGAACAATATGTTGGTTTAAAGCTTCAGTCACTCGTGCATTTTTTAGAAGACATGTGAATGAAGTTCACCCAAATCATTTGCCTTCAGAAAAACCCATCTCACTGCCAAAGATCAGAGCTTCATCTTGATCAAGAACCCCTTCACTTCTTATCAAATGAAAATCGGGCCCATTAAATTTATCGCATCATCCGGCCTTTAAACTGTGCGGACTTTCAAAAAGATTGTCTAACACAAAAATTTACGAGGGCAATTGTGACAACCGAGCGTATCCGGAGATTCTGCACCGCCGCCTATCGACCGCGCCGCCGCCCACACTTCTAAATCATCAGCTGTGAGCTTGAACTCTGCTGGTTGATTATACATCTATATAGTTGGTAATCTAAGGTAAGATCTTTGATTTCGTGAACTGTTGAATGCTGAAATCTGAATAGCTTTTGGCTCATGTTGAATGTTTAAGTTATTTCCCCTTTTCAATAGATGGACGAGGCTTCTGTCAACGGCGAACATCCTCCGCTCTTTACCGCTATGACGGAGTACGTCGGCCGAACCGGCCGCGTCCTACCGGGAGACAAGCCTCTGCAGCCGGCTTTCGGGATGGAATTCGAGTCGTACGAGGACGTTTACTTCTTCTACAACTGCTACGCGAGGCAGTAGGGGTTTGGGGTCCGCGTGAGCAACATGTGGTACCGAAAGGGCCGGGAGAAGTACCGTGTGAAGCTGAGCTGCAGCAGCGCCCGAGGCCCGAAACGCGAATGGGCTGTCCCGCCATGATAAAGATCAGGCTGATGGAAGACAGTGGGCGGTGGAGGATCATAGAGACAGAGCTCGACCACAATCATCTGACAAGCCCCGTGGACGGCCAGTTCATACAAGTCACATTGGGCCGTGGGTGTCGGGAGCAAGAGGCCCGTGGCAGAGAACGGTGGTGGGAAAATCAGGCTGTTTAGGACAGTGGTCGTTGATGAGGTAGATGCTAGGGTTTTGGATTTGGATGAGGCTGGAATCGGGGCTAAATTGAGCCTCGAAAAGGGTTACGCTCGAGAAATGGTCGATTTTTTCACGAGGATGCAGTTGGGTGACCCTAGTTTCTTTTACGTCATGGATGTTAATGGGAGGGGATGCTCGATGAATGTGTTCTGGGCCGAAGGGAAGTGTAGAGCTGCATATGGATATTTTGGTGACGTTGTATTTATTGATGCAAAAGCTTTGGTAGGAAGATACAAGATTCCGCTTGTGGTTTTTACGGGTGTGAATCATCACGGGCAGACTTTACCGTTAGGTTGTGGTTTGGTTTTGGGGCAAACTGTGGATTCTTTTGTGTGGCTGCTCAGGGCATGGCTCACGTATATGGTGGGCCGCACGCCCAAAACGGTCATTACAAGTTGGTTTGAATTCTTGCAAGCTGCTGTTGCCGAAGTTCTTCCTCGGGCTTTCCATTGTCTTGATTTGAGAAATATTGTGGATATGGTTTTAAGCGAATTCAAAGTGTTTGAGGAGTTTGATGCAATTAGGAAGGCTTTTACTGGAGCAGTATTCCACTCTTTGTGTGAGAACGAGTTTGAAGCGGCTTGGGAAGAAATGGTGCAGAGACATGGACTCTCGAGTTGTGACTCAATAAAAGCATTGTATGAAGAGCGCAAGCGGTGGGCCCCAGTCTATCTGAAGGAGGTTTTCCTTGCCGTCATGTTTCCTGTGAAAAAAAAAGGAGCTGTTGATTTCACCTTTCGAGAGATGCTTGAGCCCGGATACTTCCCTCCAAGAATTTCTTGGCAGTTACGAGCGTGCTATATCTGAAATCGATCAAAGAGAATCATTATCTAATTTGGAATCTAAAAACTCGAGTCCCGTGCTAAAGTCGAATTTCTATTTCGAGCTGCAGGTTTCGAAATTATACACAAGCGATGTATTCAAGAAATTTCAAGACGAGATAGAGGGCATGCATTCGTGTCTCATCGTAAGACAGACGAGCATTGATGGTTCGATTGCAACTTACATCGTGAAAGAAGATATTCAAGTTGTAGAAAACAGAGGGGATAAAAAGGATTTCGAGGTGATCTATAATACCTCAGATGCTGAGGTTGTATGTGCTTGTGGGCTATTCAACATCAGGGCCTATTTGTGCAGACATTCATTGAGTGTTATCAATCAACTCGGTTTGGAAGAACTTCCACCCTAGTATGTACTTGACAGATGGAGGAAGGACATCAAGCGTAATTATGTTTTCGATTATGGACACAATGGTATTGATATTCATAACCCTTTGCATAGATACGATAACTTGTACAGATCGGTTGTGAAAGTTGTGGAGGAAGGGAAGAAGTCACGTGATCGCTACAAGTTTTCATTGAAATCATTGGACGAGATATTAAACAGAGTTCGCATTCGAGGGGATTACACTGCAAAGTAAGTATCTGTGCTTTGTATCTGCAAAGTATGTTCGATGTATAGATTCTACTTTCTAGTTAAGTCTACAGAAAGATAAAGTTCATTCTCAGGTTGACATGAGATACTGTGTTTTACATTCACTTTTCAGTCTGCATATCATTAAATTTTCTTATGGTGGTGTTCTTTGAGCCTGTTTTATTGGTAATATCAACTTATGTAGATATGAGTGAAACAGAGAGTGGTTGCAAGCAATCAATTAAAGAGACTGATGTACTTCCAAATGAATATTTGTGACACTTTTTTTTATGCCCATAAACATGCTCATCCTCATTTGTAGCCGTTGGCCTCGAGGGTCACAAACGGTGCCGTTAGTGGCTTAATTAATTAATTAATTATCAAAGGTTCTTTAATAATGTATGACAAGTTCATTATTTTCGTATAATAATATAGAAAGAAAACGTTTAATTTTAAATAAATATAAAATAAAAATTAAATAATTTTTCGTATCAACAATTAGTTATATATAAAGAAGATTCGAATATCTTCTGTTGTAAAATATCTAGAGAAACCAGCACTTTTTTTGAATGAATATTAAGAGAATTTCAAAGAATCCACCCTTTTTTTCTGAAAGCTGACTTTTATAAAAGTGGGTATTATTTTATACCAAACTATTCATATCTATTTAAAAAAATTAATACTAGTAATTGACATATATACACCAAGTTTCCTTAACCTGATTATTCAATATCTTCATAAAGATTTTGTTATATCTTTTTATTTTTGGAGATAATTGAAAGATCACATTAATTTAGACAAAATACCTTTTATAAAATTAATTACTGCCAAAACGTCCCTTCGAATTACTTGGAAATTTATTAATTAGTCGCTAGAAATTAGGAGTATACACGAACCAATATAATTTAGTCGCTATAAATTACGAGTATACCGACGTCTTCTCTTCCTCACTCAAAATCAAACACAAACCAAACCAAACCAAACCAAACCCTAGAAAACATGGCGAAAAACGGCGAAAAACGGTCTTCTCTTCCTCACCCAAAATCAAACACAAACCAAACCCTAGACATGGCGAAAAGTGTGGAGAAATCCAAACGCAAGAAACAGCGAAAATCACGTCGCCGTTCCGAACCGGAATCGGAAATGCGTGACCATTCCGAAGAGGAGCCTAAGAAGGCAATGAAGCAGCAGCCTAATCCAGTTGCTGAACCCGAATCAGAATCAAAATCCGAACCGGAAGAGGAGCCTAAGCAGGCAATGAAGCAGCAGCCTAATCCAGTTGCTGAACCCGAATCCGAATCGGAAGAGGAGCCTAATCCAATTGCTGAACCCGAATCCGAACCCGAACCCGAATCTGAAGAGGCGCCCAAGCAGTCCAAGAAGCGCAAACAGTTGTCTGCGGTGGATGAAACTTCTTCGAAGAACAAAAAGGCGGCATTCCAGAGAATATGGAGCGAGGAGGATGAGATTGCTCTTCTCAAGGGTCTCTTAGAATTCAAAAAGGATGGGAAAAAACTTGAAGACATGGACTCGTTTCACGAGTTCATCAAAAATAAGCTCCACATGGAGGTGACAAAGACGCAAATACAGAGCAAGATCAGAACACTCAAGAAGAAGTACCAAAACAACAAGAACAAGCAATTCAAATTCAAGGAAGGTGATGGTGGCGGTAAAGAAAAGTTTGAGCTATCCCAACTTTTGTGGGGGACTGAGTTGTTGAAGCCTTTGAGTAGAGAAAGTATGAATGTTGTTTTGGGGGAAGATAAGGAATGGAAGAAGCTGTTGGTTCATGAGACAGAGGCTTATCTCAAGTGTCAACGCACCAAGATTGCACATCAAAATGCTAAGATTGAACATCACAATGCCAAGATTGAACATCAAAATGCTAAGATCGCAAGGGCACACCACCTTCTCAACCTCATCAAATGATCCACTTAGATGTTATCATATCAATCTATGTAGTTTAGTTTATTTTTGGTTTTTTTGGGCTCTTTCAGAATGGTACTTTTGAAGTAACTCTCTTTTGGTTGTGCTCTTTCAGAATTTGTGCTTTTGGAGTAACTCTCTTTTGGTATTAATATTTTGGGGATGGATTGAGAATTTAGTTCGCATTTTTCCTGCACCTCTGTTTTGTTAATTTCCATTCAATGCTATATTTTGTAATTTTTGTGCTGTTTCTTTTTTTCATTTTCAATTTCGTACATATTTTGAAAAAATTGTTACACCAAACCGATTTTTCTCGATAGCCGACCAGAAATCAGTTCGGGTTGTTATTTGGTAACACCAAACATTGGTTACCCAGCTGAACACTATTTTAGCAATCTTTGTTCAAGCCATCTATATGAGAATATTTGTGGTTCTCTCCAGGTTACTTGAATAAAATGGCTCTTAATAAGTTATTACATAAGACTCTCAAGGTAATGCAATTTTCAACAATTAGTGGCAGAGCCCTTTAGTGGTGGATTTTATTATTTACAGTGCAATTGGGGGCATGAAGAAAGTATGGTTTCATGGTGATAGTTGAATTATAGGGATCTCTTTATCATATGACTTGCAGGCTGGAAGAACGAGTATAAATACATGCAAATACTAAAAAATATCATAATAATGGACTGTATTGTTGTGAAGTAATAACTCTGAATAGAAATGCTGATGAATAAAAAAATTGAAAAGATAAAGTTAATTGTGGGTTAACATTAAATTTTAAATATACCTGGTTTGGATGCAGAAGATACAGAATTCCACTTGTTGTTTACGGGTGTGAATCATCACGGGCAGACTTTACCATTAGGATGTGGTTTAGTTTTGGGGCAAACTGTGGATTCTTTTGTTTGGCTGCTCAGGGCATGGCTCAAGTGTATGGTAGGCTGCACGCCCCAAACGGTCATTACAAGTTGGTGTGAATTTTTTGCAAGCTGCTGTTGCCGAAGTTCTTCCTCGGGCTTTCCATTGGCTTGATTTGAGAAATTTTGTGGATATGGTTTTTTAAGCGAATTTAGAGTGTTTGAGGAGTTTGATGCAATTAGGAAGGCGTTTGCTTGATCAGTTTATTGCTCATTGTGTGAGGACGAGTTTGAAGCGGCTTGGGAAGAAATGGTGCGAAGACATGGACTCACGAGTTGTGACTCGATAAAAGCGTTGTATGAAGAGCGCAAGCGGTGGGCCTCAGTCTATCTGAAGGAGGTTTTCCTGGCCGACATGTTTCCTGTGAAAGAAAACGAGCTGTTGATTTCACCTTTCGAGAGATGCTTGAGCCCGAACACTTCCCTCCGAGAATTTCTTGGCAGTTACGAGCGTGCTATATCTGAAATCGAGCAAATAGAATCGTTATCTAATTTGGAATCTAAAAACTCGAGTCCCGTGCTAAAGTCGAATTTCTATTTCGAGCTGCAGGTTTCGAAATTATACACAAGCGATGTATTCAAGAAATTTCAAGACGAGATAGAGGGCATGCATTCGTGTCTCAGCGTAAGACAGACGAGCATTGATGGTTCGATTGCAACTTACATCATGAAAGAAGAAGATATTCAAGTTGTGGGAAACAGAAGGGATAAAAAAGGATTTCGAGGTGATCTATAATATCTCAGATGCTGAGATTGTATGTGTTTGTGGGCTATTCAATGTCGGGGGGCTATTTGTGCAGACATTCATTGAGTGTGTTATCAATCAACTCTGTTTGGAAGAAATTCCTCCCCAGTATGTACTTGACAGATGGAGAGAGGACATGGAGCGTAATTATGTTTTTGATTATGTACACAGCGAGACAGAGTTTTATGATGTGAACAAGGGGTCGGGAAATTTTCCCTATATGCCATCCATGGACGATTTTTCTATCCAGAGACACCACGATATTGCCATTCGACAAAGTTTTCTTGGGGGTAAGGGTAGCATACCTTCCCTAGTCAACTTCCACTTCTCACGTAGGAAACCCCCGGACAGACAAAAGGTTCTTTCAGCCCAAATGCTAGGAAAGACCAGCAAGCATGTGTTAAACATTAAAGAAGGAGTCCTCTACCATCTTGAAAGTCCGATCTCAAAACCATCGCCCAACGAACGAAGCAAAGCGAAGTGAAGTCATAGAAAGAAGAGAAAGGACTTGACTTTGACTGCTATGCTTCTTTCACTTCTTTCTTTTGAAATAAGGACTTAGCCCGTGGGTCAGAAGCGATATGGTTTTCTTACCATTAACTCCCCCTCTGACCATGGGTAGCTTAGTCAGTTATTTTCTTTTGTCAGAGTGGATTCGGACCAAGTATCATAGTTGGGTATTTACTAAAATCTCCCTTTGGGGGGGAAGGGTGGATTGTTAGTGTGGACGATTTAGAAGATATAATCGGAGGAACCGATCTTTATATATTTTGGCCACGTTCGTTTCCGCTCCGAAGAAGAAGGTTTGGATCTTTCAATCCTTCAAGCTCCTACTCATAGCCGCTCTTAGTACTAATTGAAAGAGAGGACGCTCTTGGTCTTAGTTGGCACCGACTAGCAACTCTCTCTAGCTCGTCAACATCTCCATGGTCAGGGTATTGAACAGATCGAGCAAGCTCAAATTGACGTAACATGAAACCTATTAGCCCAAAAGGGTATTGATATTCATAACCCTTTGCATAGATACGATAACTTGTACAGATCTGTTGTGAAAATTGTGGAGGAAGAAGGGAAGAAATAACGTGATCGCTACAAGTTTGCATTGAATTCATTGGACGAGATATTAAACAGAGTTCGCATTCGAGGGGATTACACTGCAAAGTAAGTATTTGTGCTTTGTATCTGCAAACTATGTTTGATGTATAGATTCAAACTATGTGAAGTGTATCTGCAAACTATCTGCAAAATACATGCTTACTATTAGGTGTTGGGTTCATAATTCAAACAATCAGATTTATGAAGTGTATGTATATGAAATGAAAAAATACAAATTAAATAGAAAGTTTGATTATACTGAGGCGTCCGTGCAAGTGCACGCTTGGTTGGGAAAGTGGCCCCACACAATGAATAATGATAAGCAAAGTTGGGCTGTACCATTATATTTGCATATGCAATTCCCTCCAATTTGGCTATGCATTTTCTGACACTTCCATTGTGTGGTTGCGTGACTTATCACACATATTTTTTTTTTCTTTTTAGTATTATTATATGTTATACCCTTCCTCATTTCCATGCATATAGTGTACATAGACATGGCCACGGGTTGGCCAGACCCGTGGACCGGCCTGGAATCGGCCTGCCCCAGCCGGTTTTTGAACCGGACCATAAGCCCTTAAGGGCTGTTTACGGATCATGTTGTACTCATTTTTTTACCCTCTGGGCCGGGCCGGGTCAATTTCGAGCCCGAGTTTTCAAACGGGTCATAATTATAATTTTATTTTTTCTATTTTTTTTAGAAACGTTTGTTCAATGAACTGCCAAGCCGGGCCGATTACGGGCCTAGGATTTCAGACCTTGCGGGCCCAACCCGGGCTTTGGCCACGTCTAAGTGTACATGTACCTAATCTATAATTATATTAAAAGAATAACCTTTTTAAATTGCCGCAAAAAAATTGGCGCCAAAACAATAAATGCGTGTTGTTTTATTATTTTTCAAAAATCTGTTTTATATGCGTTCATTAAACCTCTCCAAAATCTGTTTTTTATTTCCTTATTTTTTGCTAATCAAAACTGCCCAAAAATAGCTGATTTATTATAAGAATGAATGACAGTTTTGAAATAGCTGATTTATTGGACAGTTTTTCTTTATAGATAGATTATAGATAGATATCATTTCCTTAATTATTGGATGGGATTTGTTTGGGATTTATTTATCTCAATATCAAACCCGTGATCTGCAATTAACGCATGTATAAATTATATTCATTTATAGAATATTAAGACATTATTTACATTTTTAATTCGAACATTTATTTAAAACAAATCAGACTTCGACTTTTTTTTTTCTTTATTTAAATACAATAGTCCATACTTATTTATAACAATTCCATTTAATTTGAATTTTTCAAAAGAGAATCCATACATATCCAAATTAAGTCACGTAACTAAAAAATACTCATCAAATCTAATTTAAACAAGGTAAAATAATATTGTCTCTTAACAATTTTGGAGATTGAAATTCTTAATAAAAACCACCATCAAAAAATCAATTTTGATGAATTATAATTTCTTAACAATCCATTCATCTGTTTTTTATACGTTATTAAAAAATCAATTTTGATGAATTACAATTTTTTAACAATTTCTTAACAATCCGTTCTCTTTCCTAAAAAATAGATATTGTTGGACATTTATGAATAGGGAAATAAATTGGCCGATTTATTGGGATAAGGTATATAGAAAAAATCTTATCCCATCTTTAATTTGTTCACCCTTCCGTTCACACTTAATTTCATATGGAAAAATCCTAGTATATAGATCCCTATAAATCTTTTAAAAATCTCATCTCTTATCTATTTATTCTAACATATTTTTTTCTAAAAAACAATTGTAACAGATTTTTTTTTCTTAAAACAAGTTAATTGTTTTAAAAAAATAATTTTCACTCATCTAAATACTAATATTTTTTTAACAATTATTAATCCTTATAATATTTTAGATATTTTAAACATTAGACAAAGACTAAGGAGCTCTATATATATACACACATGTATGAGGTTAAACTTAAGTATTTTTTGACATATTTTTCGTAGTTTAGAAAAGTGGCTTCAAACATTTTTCAAGAATAATATATAATATTGTATATATTTTTTATATATCTTATATAATATTTTAGAGGTATTTAGTATATTTATCACATATTTCGCTCTCAAACTACATACAATAAAAAGTTATAAGAAGAAATGTAGAATTAAATATTGTCTTCAATTTTTATCTGTTTATGAGTTATATATATATTTGTTACAGTTTACATTAATCTTTTAGTTGTATTTGTAAACTTA